AAATTTAATTAAAATTGAATTTAAAAATCTGTTTCTCAGCCATATTAACCACATTTCAAGTGCTCAATGCCACATGTGGCTAATGGCTACTGAACTGGAAAGTACACATACAGACCGTATCATTGCCCAAAGTTCCACTGGACAGCTCTAGTTGAGAAAGACATACACAGCAGCTAACAGTGATTTTATCTCTGGTGGCTAATTTATGATTACTTTCTTCTCCTTTTTAGAATGTATTTTATAGTTCTTCCTCATTGACACTGCTTTTGTAATTAAAAAATACTAAAAAAATTTATAGCTTTTTATAACAGAAATTCTTAGATATCTAAACATACATTTGCCTCTTACTCCAAATATGTTTACTATGTTTTGCTTTTTCTTTTTTCATGGCTCTACATTTCACATGACTCAACTTTAATGTAAATTAAGTAATGCTAATTAATGCATTTAGAAAAGAAAACACTCATTTGTACTGGGGAGGAATTCTGTATTAGCTATTGGTTTTGTTTTGTTTACAAAGAAAGGCATAAGATGCATGAAAAACTATGTAATCCTGTGTTTTAGATTAAGAAGCCATATTTACCCTTTTCTTCAGTAAAGGATATCTTCTCATCACCAACAGCTAGTTTTTTTTTTTTTTTTTTTTAGAGACAGAATCTTGCTCTGTTGTCCAGGCTTACTGTGACCTCAACCTCCTGGACACAAGCAATCTTCTCAGCTCAGCCTCCCAAGTAGCTAGGAAAACAGGCAAGTGCCACCATGCCTGGCTAAGTTTTTAATTTTTTTGTAGAGATAGGGTCTTGCTTGTTGCCCAGGCTAGTCCCAAATTCCCAGCCTTCCAAAGCACTGGGATTACAGGCATGAGCAACCACACCCAACCACCAATAGCTAGATTAACCAATAATTATTATTCATATTCCTGTTCATCCATTCAACAATATTTACTAACATCTTCTAAGTGCCAAGGACTGCAGGTTCTAAGTCTCCACTCCTAACAAAAGGAAAGACAAAAAAGGGGGTGGGGGAGGGGTAGATAAACAGGCAAATAAACATATGATGGGAATGACAAGTACCATGAAAAAAACAAAACAGGGTTGGAATGAGAAAAGAGTGAATGGAGACATGGGGTATACTATATTGTATGTAGGGCGATCAGGGGAAATTGCTCTGAGAAGATGACATTTGAAAAGAGACCAGAAAAAAGTGAGGGAGGAATCCACATTTCAGGCAAGGGTAAAAATGAGTTCAAAGGCCCTGAGTTGGGAACATGTTTGCCTTATTCAAAAAACAGTCAGGTGGTCCAATGTGGCTAGAATGAAAAAAGTGAGGGTGAGTGGAAGGAGATGAGGTCAGAGCAGTAATAGGGAAAACTTCAAGAAAGCTTTCTAGACCACAGAAAGGACTTTGGTAAGAAGATGGGAAGTTAAAGGCACAAAGAGATGAAGATCATGCCCATCTCTTCTAAGATATCAAGAAGCCCCAGCAAAGAAGGGAAAAAATAGTTGGGTTCATTGTCTTAACGAACAGCAAGAATAAGCAGCTTCATTATCCTTAAACTGTTACCCCTCAACTATCACGCAGGCTCTACCAACAGCTGCAAATAACCTAATCACCTAAAAAGCATCAGAGCTGCCACTGCCTCAATATAGGAAAGCAGCAAAGAAGGGAAAAAAATCAGTTCTGTCAAACACATGACAAATAATTAAGCATGAGTGGGTATATTCAAGTAGTCAAAGGACCCTGACTACCTTCTTTCCTATCAAGCTTATGTCTTCAAGACTTTTCAGGAAGTTTTAAATTCAAAATCTTTACCTAAATCCTTGGTTGAAGGCCCATAATAATTACCTTTTTGTAAAAAGACATCAAGTTGATCAGCACAAAAGGCTTTCAATTCTTTCTCAGGTTTGTCCTTCTTGACCAGTGCTACAACATAGTTGGCTAAGGCTGAAGGGTCAGCATCACATCTATTTAGACAAAGAGAAAACAAAAATTTAAAAATACATTTTTTTCAAACAGTGGTATCATTAATGAAGTCACTCCTATTTTGGAAAACCAAAGACCAAAACTTTATTTTAAAAAGTGACTGTAAACACAGGCAACTAAAATAATAATAAACAGCATATCTATACTGCAAGTGAGATTTTCCTTTTCTGTTTATTTCTATAAAATAACTAGTCTGTCTCCTATTTTTGAGGTTCTAATTAAACCAAGTATCATGGACCACGTCTACATTTATTTGGTTTCTCAATGGTAGTTGGGAAAGGGTGGTGACTGACCCCTACATTGCTGTTTGCCTCCCAGCCTCCAGAAGCACTGTCAAAAACACCTTCAGGAAATACCTGTTCCATGTGACCAATAAGGAAAAAGCAAGGGGAAGTGATGGGACAGCTTTCTCCTCTCTTCAAGGCACCAGCATCTAAAAATGGCTAACAATACCACTGCTAATCTTTTAATGAGTATCTTAAAGATCTTTTTTAAAAGGGAGAACATGAGACGGATGGCACCTTAAATATTACTGAGAAATGCTTTAGCAGCTGTAAGTAAGAAAGAAAAGATTTAGGGGTTAGAAACAGAAAGGAGAAGAGAAATGGTGAAAGGGAGGCAAACATAACCTTTATCTACTTCACATTTTTTTTAGTCAGTAGTGACCTATGACCTAGGTGACTCTGATGCTCAAAATCATCTCCTATCCCAGAGCAGCACATGATCTTTGGGTTGTCAACTCCTGATGTATGAAATCTGTCATTTTATCTACATCACATGAAACTAAGTTTTCACGG